CCTGTTTTGTATTTTATTTAGAGACAGGGTCTCACCAAGTTGCTTAGCACCTCATTGTTGCTGAGGCTGGCTTTGAACTTGCAATCCTCCTGGTTTAGCCTCCCAAGCCACTAGGATTACTAGTATTTCTTAACTTTAGTTTTTATCGTATCTTGAGAGAGCTAAATTTCAAGTCTTTCTTTTTAAAATATTTATTCTATTTAAGAATTACCTTCCCCTTAAATAAAATGGTACTACAGTTTGCGATATTGTTATAATGATGCAAAATCTGCTCTCTTCTTTTTATGAAAAAATGAAATTGAGGGGCTGGGATTGTGGCTCAGTGGCAGAGCTCTCGTCTAACATGTGTGATGCCCTAGGTTTGATCCTCAGCACCACATAAAAATAAATAAACAAAATAAAGGTATTGTGTCCAACTACTTCTAAAAAATAAATATTTTAAAAAATGAAATTGATACAATGAAATAAAAGGATAGTGAAGTATTTCAAATAGTCATTGTGACATCAACAAATTTCTAGAGACATATGACCTACCCAAACTGAATCAGGAAGACATACACAATTTAACGGATCAGTTTTAAGCAGTGAAATAGAAGATGCCATCAAAAGCCTACCAATCAAGAAAAGTCCAGGACCAGACAGATTCTCAGCCGAGTTCTATAAGACCTTAAAAGAAGAATTAACACAAATACTCCTCAAATTAATCCATGAAAATAGAAAAGGAAGGGACCTTTCCAAACTCATTCTGAGGCTAGTATCACCCTGATACCCCAAACAGATAAAGACACATCAAAGACACTTCTATTGGACATCGACCTTCAAACTCTAGCCAGAGCAATTAGAAGAAATGAATTAAAGGGATATGAATAGGAAAAGAACAACTCAGACTATCACTATTTGCTGATGACATGATTCTATATTTGAAAATCCAAAAAATTTCACCAGAAAACTTCTAGAACTAATAAATGAATTCAGCAAAGTAGCAGGATATAAAATCAACACTCTTAAATCAAACTTGTTCCTATATGTCAGTGATGAATCCACCGAAAGAGAAATTAGGAAAACTACCTCATTCACAATAGCCTCAAAACAACAACAACAACAAAAAACAACAACAACAACAACAACAACAAAAAAAAAAAACCTTGGGAATCAATTTAACAAATGAGATGAAAGTCCTCTACACTGAAAACTACAGAATACTAAAAAAAGAATGAAGATTTTAGAAGATGGAAGGATCTCCCATGCTCTTGGAATTAATATCATCAAAATGGCCATACTACCAAATGCATTATACAGATTTAATTAAAATACCAATGACAGTCTTCATAGAATTAGAAAAAGCAATCATGAAATTCATTTGGAAAAATAGAGGCTCAGAATAGTTAAAGCAATCCTTAGCAAGAAGAGTGAAAGCAGGAGGCATCATAATACCGGACCTTAAATTATACTACGGAGCCATAATAACAAAAGTGGCATGGTGTTGGCACCAAAACAGACACATAGACCAATAGTACAAATAGAAGACACAGAGATAAACACACATAAATACAGTTATCCCTTACTAAACAGAAGCACCAAAAACATACACTGGAGAAAAGATAGCCTCTTTAACAAATGATGTTGGGAAAACTAGAAATCCATATGTAGTAAAACAAAATTAAATCTCTTTCTCTCAGCCTGCATGAAACTCAACTCAAAGTGGATCAAAGACTTAGACACTAGAACTGAGACCCTACGCCTAACAGAGGAAAAATTAGGTCCAAATCTTCATCACATCAGCTTAGGACCTGACTTCCTTAACAAGGCTCCTCAAGCACAAGAAGTAAAATCAAGAATCAATAAATGGGAGGGATTCAAACTAGAAAGTGTCTCAACAAAGGAAACAATATTGTGAAGAGAGAGCCTACAGAATGGGAGAAAATCTTTACTACATGCACCTCAGATATAGCAATAATCTTCAGGATATATAAAGCACTCAAAAAAACTCCAGAAAAAAAATAACCCAATCAATAAACAGGCAAAGGAAATGAACAGACACTTTACAGAAAAAGAAATACAATTCATCAACATCTCTAGCAATTAGAGAAACACAAATCAAAATTACTCTAAGATTTCATTTGACTCCAGTCAGAATGGCAATTATCATGAATACAAGCAACAATTAATGTTAATGAGGATGTGGGGGGAAAAGGTACACTCATACATTGCTGGTGGGCCTGCAAATTGGTGCAGCCACCCTGGAAAGCAGAAGGAGATTCCTTAGAAAACTTGAAATGGAACTACCATTTGATCCAGTTATCCCATTCCTTGGTTTATACCCAAAGGATTTAAAATCAGCATACTACTGTGATGCAGCTGCATCAATGTTTATAGCAGCTCAATTTACAATAGATAAAACTATGGAACCAACCTAGGTGTCCTTCAGTAGATGAATGGATAAAGAAAATGTGATTGAGATATATATATATATATATATAGATATATATATATATATATATATATATATATATATATATAAATAACTCAGCTTTAAAGAAGAATGAAACTATGGCATTTGCCAGTAAATGGATGGAGCTGGAGAATATCATGCTAAATGAAATAAGCCAAACCCAGAGAATCAAAGGCAGAATGTTTTCTCTGACATGCAGATGCTAATTCACATTCAAGGGTGGGGGTGGCTAGGGAAAAATAGAGGTACTTTAACAGAGGGGAGTGAAGGGAGGGGAAGGGGTGTGGGGGTAGGAAGGATTACAAAATGAATTGGACATTATTACCCTATAAACATATGTGATTACATACTGGCGTAATTTTACATCATGTACAATCAGAAGAACGAGAAGTTATACTCCATCTATATATGATGTATCAAAATGTGTTCTACTGTCATGTATAACTAATTAGAACAAATAAAAAAAAGAAAGTATTCATGAATGCCTATGTTTCAACTTAGTAAAATTAATATTGTCAAGAAAATAAATAAATGAAATAGTCTTTGTTAGACTTCCTTTTATGAAAGGAATTTGCCATTTACAAGTGTTTTGATGATCTAGGACAATTGTGATTGAGTCATCTCCAAAACTGTCTTTTACTGTATCCCCTATAAAAAATTGGTGGAAAGTTCCACTTTATTACTTTGTAAACAACTTAAAAAACAAAAGGATTTTACAAAATAACTATGACTCCCTTTAAGATTGTTTAAGAAGTTGGGCACGGTGTTGTATACCTGTCATCCTAGTTACTCAGGAGGCTGAGGAGAATGATCACAAGTTCAAGGACAGCATGGGCAACTTAGCAAGACCCCGTCCCAAAATAAAATAAAAATGACTGGAAACATAGCTTAGTGAAAGCTCTTGCCCAGCATGTAAAAGGTTCTGGTTCAGTTCCCAGCACCCCACCCCACCCAATACACATACACACAAAGAATTGTTACAAGAATTTGTTTGTAAGGTTCTTATAGTAAATCCATGAAATTTAAAATGAGGATTTTTGTAGTTGTAAATAATACCAAGGTGGCATTCTTTATTTGTTAGTTAATAACGTGCTAAAAACTTAGAAAAGTGAATTAGGGTAAAGGCAGATAGAGATATGAGATACATAGGTAATGAACTCTGAATTTTTTTTTAAACATAGGTATATTCATCTCAAGCTGGCTCCTCTCTGCCTACCAACCAGCTTCTATATTAGGCAATAATAATATTGCTCTCAATCATGGAGTGGAATTTTTTTCCATATTTAATTAAACATAAAGATAATGAAAAATCTGTTTTTTAGAAAAATGCTTTCCAAGTCAAATGTCAATAATATTCGGATAACCACTTAAGTATTTTTCTTTGATATTGTTTCCCTTATATAAGTTCTGTTAATTAATAGCAGACACTCAGTAGTAATGATTATTCAGGGCATGATCCTGAGTCGAAGGTCCATCTCTGTGAGTAGTAGGAAGAACAAAGTGCCTGGGCAACCTTTGCTTTCAGATGCTTTTACCTAACTTATATTTTTTAAAACATCATATTTTCTCTATAACCAATAACAAACCCTGTTTTTCAGCTGTTATAGTGGGTTTTTGTAGTTGGACTAGCTATTTACTTAATGGTAACAGTGGTGATAGATAGCAGTGATATCCTTCAGTGGTAATGGTGGCTCTCAGTTTTTGAGCACTTACTAAGTGCTAAGCTCTGTTGTTGAGCTCTTTACCAATATTATTTTTTCCTTATATATTATCCTATTTCACATATGAGGAAACTTAAATTGAGGTTAGAATAACTTCCCCAAAGTCACACAGCTAGTAAGATCTTTGGTCTGGATTTCAGAGACTAGGTCTTAACTACCCTGCCTAGTCTTACCTGGCATTTATCATCTGTACCACCACTTTTTATTTTTTTAATATTTTTTTAGTTATAGATGGACACAATACTTTTTATTTTATTTATTTTTATGTGGTGCTGAGGATCAAACACGGTGCCTCACACATGCTAGGCAAGCACTCTACCACTGAGCTACAACCCCAACCCTGTACCATCACTTTTTAAAAAATATTTTTAAAATTATTTTTAGACATACATGACAGCAGAGTATATTTTGACATACATACATGGAATATAACTTATTAGGATCCCATTCCTGTGGTTGTACACGATGTGGAGTTTCACTGGTTGTGTATTCATATATGAACATAGGAAAGTTATGTCAGATTCATTCCACTGTCTTTCCTATTCCCACTTCCCCTCCCTTCCTTTCATTCCCCTTTGTCTAATTCACCGCACCATTTTTAACACTTGTATACTTTTAAATGTTTTCTCTAACTGCTTAGAAGCAAGGGAGGAAAGGAGGGGAAAGTGTGTTTTAGTTCTTTGATGGATACTGATCAGCTAGAGAAAAGTATCTCTCTCACATGCAGTCCTTGTTTTGGTCCCCCACCCCTATTATTTAGAAGGGGAAAAGCACCTAAAATAGTCAAGATTTGCTGGTGTCACTGAATACACTTCTCCTTTGTGCAGGTGGTGAGGCAGTGCCACTCTTCACTCCTCAGATGTCGCCTGCTAAGATGTCCGTGACGCTGCCCTCGATGAAACCTGAGGATTGCTCTCAATCCCTGAGCGTCAGCACCATACAGGGGGATGTGGAGTCCTCAGGGGCAGATACCTTCTGAGTGGGGAGTGAGAACCAGCATATTTATGAAGACATTTCACTTTGGCTTAAAACTAGCCCCCTCAAGCTGTTTTGGTCTTTGAGCATATTCTGAAAAAACATTTCTAATTTTTTTTTATTCAGATGAAAAGTACAATTTTGGTATTTAGATAAAGTTTTTGAATAAAATAAATATAAATCATCATAAGTCTGGCTGTGAGTTGTTTCTCTGAAGCCTAAAGTAAAATGGAATAGTGGGGAGGACATGACTTTTGACATCTAAGAATATATTTTACAGGTACAATTATCTGTCCATACTTGTGAAGTCATGTAACTCAAGGTTCATGCCTACATTTTTTTTTAAACAGCAAATAACTAGAAGTAATATAGAGACTATCAATAATAGACTGGTTAGTAAGAGTAACAGTAGAGTTGTACAATGGAATACTACATGTTACATGTTAATGTGAAATAATCCATACACAAAATGGTATGTGGACTATGCTGCTCTAGTTTTAAATGAAGAAGGAGAACCCCAAATGTATGGTGTCTATATATACATATGCTTGCACGGATTGCTTGTATTTACATTAAGTAACTTTGGAAAGATAAACAAAAAACTGCTAACATGGTTTCCAGGAGAGGAACTTATGGCTAAGTGACAGGAGTTAAGGATGACTATAGTTTCTGTGTATTTGAACTTGTTTGGTTACTGGAAAAAAGGAGTCTGAATGAGATTAATTATATGCCTTCTTTCTACTTGGTAAATATTTATGCATCATAAACCTGTGAAACGTGGCTGAACTACCTTTTAAAACATAAATACCTAATATTAAAAGCATGGCTTTTTAATTAGACGTGTGGGTTTGTATTCCAGTTTCTCTACCTACCTGCTCTGTGATGGGCAAATAAGCCCTCCTCATCAGCTGGCTTGGGTTAATAGGTTTTATCATTGTTTTTGCAGGATAATGGAGATTAGTGATAATGTGTTTATGGAGGGCAGTAAAATGGGGTAGGGTGAGGTGGGAAAGTGTTGCCTGGTCCAGTGTTTGGCACCAGGTAAGTGCTTGATAAATGTTGTTATTAGAATCTTGAGGGGTCTTAGCATCTAACACTACAGAGTAAACATTTGAGAAGAGCATCCTAACATGAGTTAAAAAAAATAAAAATATCTCCCTGAAATGTTACTTTCTATCACCACACAGTTCAAACACACAGTAATTACAATCATCCTTGACTCAGAGTTTTTCTAGGTTACTTAGTGGGTCTCAGCCCTGGCTGCACATTAGAACCACTGGGAACTTTTAAAAATTACTAATGCCTGGGCTACATACCAGGGATTCTGATTTAATTGATCTTGGGTAGAGTCCAAGCAGTGGTATTAAAAATGAAAAAAAAAAAAAAAAAAAAGACCTTTTCGGACGATTTTAGTGTGTATGCACTCAAAGTTGAGAATTACTAAAGAGCCATGTAGAATTCCTTAAACTTCTAGTGTAGCCCATGGTCCGGGGATTTCTTTTCCCTGAAGACCTTTGGAAACTCAGAAATGTGTCAGCTCTCCATATGTATTTCCTTTTGTGTTATGGCCTCTCGAGCTTCTCTCCAGTATTTGGTTAGTGAAATGCTTTAGGTTTCATTTTAGAACCTATTTTCTTTACTGTGGCACTTAAAATAGTTTCTGCTAAAAATAGTTTCTTTTAAACAAGTAGATGAAAATGCTGCTCTGTGGATCTTGATTTTTTTTAATTGATTGACGTAAAGCATAGAGCTTTGTTTAGAAAGTAGATAACACATTCAAGCTTGATTTGTTTTTGATGTTCCTTGACGATACTTTGGATAGGGTGAAAGCTGGGGAAACCTCCCTAAGTTCTATTTTGTTTTAAATATTACCTGCTTCATTTCCTGGTTTTAACCCAAAGCATATTTATTTTAATTTGCGGGGAGAGATGCTATAGGAGATAGAACTCAGAGACACCATCCACAGCCCTTTTTATTTTGAGACAGGATCTTGCTGAGTTGCCTAGGATGGCCTTGAATTTGCAATCCTCCTGCCTCAGCTTCCTGAATCACTGGGATTATAGGTATGCACCACTGGGCCCGCCCCCGCTTCCCAGGCTTTTTTTTTTTTTTTTTTTTAAGGTGTTAGTAGTTTCTTTCCCTTCCCCCGAACCATAGAAAGCCTGCTTTCTCTAACTTTAGGGTAAAAGTGTAATCTTTGGTTTATTCTACTTCTCATACACCTAAGTATTTCTTTAAAAAAAACTTAATAACTGTTCACCAGCATTGTGTTTGATAGGACCATTCCTGTTCATGGTTACTCCTGTACATATTCTTCTGCCAACCACTGCATATCCTTTTAGAATAATACTATATATGTAAAAATAAATGGCACTTTTGATTTTGTAAGTTTAAAATTTTATTTTATAATTTCAACTTCTGGAATACACTAGGATACCTGCCATTTAGAGGTCACGTCTATCAAGATCAAAGTTGATGTTGCTGGACAAATGTGCCTTAACACTAGGGTAATCATAAGATAAATTTGCTCTTCATATACTTTAATAGAATGTATAATAAATATTTTTATTTTCAGAATATGATTATTCCAGTGGATTTCTTATCACTTGCATATTTCTGGTATCTTATTTTTTTCTTTTTAAACTATAAACATATATCTTTATATCTCATTTTTCTATTAAAAATTTTAAATATTTTCCTAAAAAGAAAATAAGCATTTCTGAGTTCATGGTAGACTACTATTTCCAGTCCCAAAACACTATATTTAAAAGGTGCTGTGATGCTATAACAAATTATAGATTAGTGTATTGGATAATAATGGCAAACAGAATTCTTAGTATTTGTGTAATATTAGAAGAAATTCACTGAAGTATTCTTTTCTACCATATCCATATATGCATCTGTTTAATAAAGGTCTGAAGGAAACTGGCATATACAGTGTGATTTAGATTCTTGGGGGCCACGAGGGCTGCCACATTGGGATCTTTCATTCCCCACTTTTGGTCATCTGTTTTCCCTGGAGGACAGTTGACCATAAGGAATTTTGTCCCTTTGATCATCAAACATCATTTTGATCATCAAACATCAATTGCACAGTGATTTTAAAGACCCTATGAAAAATGCAATAGAGAAAAGCAAACAATGAGAAATTCTATTTTTATAGTTAAGAAAATTTCTTAAAGCCAGTTTTTTATTTGACCTACCTAGGAGACTATGACAATATCTAAGACTCAGACTGTCAAACCTTTGCGAGTTATCTGCTTGTGTGGGTGTGTGTGTTTTCAAGATGTTTTTTCTTTCTGAAGTGTTTATCTAGAAACAATAGTACATATTATCCACAGTAAAGATGCCCTCTTTTGATGCCAATAAATATAAAGTTATGTGATGGTCCAATAGTTACCAAAACAGTCATCAAAACGAAGCTGTTTTTCTGGGGCTTGTAGCGGGAATGGTTTACACTTAAAATTTCAACCATTTATCTCTCAAATTCAGGGGTCTCTATCCAAGGTTAAAAATCTGAAACACATCAATAGACTCCTCTTTCTCTGAGAGGTCACCCCTGTGAGACTTCTCAAGGAACCCAGATGGTAAGACTGAACAGGGCTTCAACTCTTCAGAGTTGCTGGTGAGGAGTCCCAGAAATAGTTTTTGGTATCTAGAAGTCACAAAGAACAGGCCTGGTGCTGCTCACTTGATATGATCTGTATCTAAGAGTTGAAAATGTGTCTTTTTCTTACTTATTAGGACAGTGATGACTATTTTAGTGAACATTTTGTATCCTATTTTTTCTGAACATGGCCATTCTGCTTTTCACAAGGTGTTACATTATAAGTAAGCATATAAGTTGTAATCTAAGAAGTATTTTTACCATCAGGATGGTTGTATGGGATTTCTTAGTAAGCTTGCTAAATATTTTTATTTTCTTTGGTCATATTCCCTAACAGTTGGATGGGTTATGGAAATATACAGATATTATAGATACTCAGGATAATTTTAAAAGGTGATTAGGTTGACTTTTCTCTGTGGGTATAATATTAACTGTGTGTAATTCTATATACTTACAACAACCAAGCTGAGCCTAGATAAATTTGTTGCATGTTCTAATGTGTATGTGAAATGATCAGGTCATATACTTGATAGGGTAGTTTATTAGTGTTAAGCAGAGCTATTCCTGTGATTCCCCCCCCCCCAGCCCCAGTTCTGGGGATCAAACCCAGGGCCTCTTGCATGCTAGGCAAGCACTCTATCACTGATCTACATCTTCAGCCCCAGTCCTACTCCCATGATTTGAGTGATGTCTGGAGTTGGAAATAGGTGACAGGTCCAGAAAGAGGTAGAGTTAACAGATGAACTCATGATCTCACTCATTCTTAAAAACAAGAAATGTATTTTATTTAAAAGTGTGTGGGGAGATGGCTAAATAATAAAGGAAGAGAATGATGGGGAAGGATAAAGAAAATACAATAGACAGGATTGAGTTAAATCAAATGTAAAATAAGTGCTGGGCTATGTAATTTTAAGGACCTTTCCAGCTCTGAACCTCATCATTATAGTATTCTGGCTGATTCTTGGATCTCCGTAACTGTTATTCTGTGCTTTATCTGTATTATAAATGTTCTGTGATGAAACTATTCTAATTTATAATTAAATACGTGTATACTGAAATCAAATAGAAGCCTCTCAAAAACTAAGACAGATCTCATGCTGCTTAAAATAGTGAGAGGTTAATCTATAAAGAGACAAAAGACAGCTCCAGAGATAGCAGTGCCTAGGAAACTCCAACACACCCCGAAAGAAAGAAAATACAGGTGTTACATTAAACACATCTATTTTTCTTCCATTTGTGATGTCAGCAAAAAAATGAAGTTATATGTTGATCTGAGGTTCCTAGCAAACATACCAAGAATGAAGAATAAAGGATTACTGATACAAATACTGCTACCATTTATTTCATCTCATACAATTAGTCATTCTTTCCTACTTTAAGCTTTGGATTGTTCCAAAGAACTATGATAACTGTAATGATCGGTATATAGAGCATAAAAGGTAATTTTGTTTAGCAGGTAAACAAAATTGGTGTCACTGAGAAGTAAAATGATAAGCTCATTATTACACATTAACAAGTCGGTTTAGACATAACAAAAAGTTCTGGTTTGTTCATTGTCTTGGGTAGAATTTGTAATTT